TAAATATATCAGCTGCTGATTTAAAATGAAGTGTAAAGTTTGTCTGTTTATGGTAGAGAATACAGGGGAACAACTGACGGAAGATTAGAAAGAAGTGACCGAGTACACTGGAAGCTCCCGTGAAGGGATATGTCTGGGGAACAAAGATCACTATCAGTAACAACCTCCTGTTAATATTATCTTCTGCAGGAAACACAGAAATTTGAGCACCGCATTCCAATCCTATAGAAACTGATCTGTTTGGTATGCGTATGCGTATTTGTGTTCATTTATGAGTATCCCTTTATGCGTTTACAATAGGTACTGCAAAATGTTGGTAGAGATTAATTGCTAATGAGCTCACATAAACCCTCCTATGAGATCTGGGTCTAATCACAAGATCTTCAGCCTGTCTGCTACCTTCTTCACCATCCCACCAGTAAGACTAACAAAGGGTTTGTAGAGTAGCCAACAAATTAATACAGTGCGAAACAGCTACCAAAGAGTTATCAGTCACGAAGGTTATGAACAATCGAATGCCATTCAGGTCTGAGCCTCCTGTACATCTAAAAAGAAAGTGCTCTCCTGGAACGGTGCCTTCAAGACCACAGGCCCGCTACGTGTGAAGATGCATCCAATTGTAATGTTGTTTATACTAATTGTTAATTGCTGTGCATGGTTACATGTGGTGTACCTCCTGCTGATGACAACACCCTGTCATGGGATGGACCCACCGGTTCCACAACACCTGGGAGGCAAGAGCAGATGTGGCCACAGCACTGACTCACCACTGAGTGGTCAGTTGCTGCGATGGAGCTGGCAGGTGGGTCTAAAAGCACCAAGCTCCTTGGTTCTTAGATAAAGCCCAGCACCCAGATCTGCTATGGCTTGTCACTTACTCTGTCTTGCCCATGACAGTGGTCCAGCTGGTTCTGGAGCCCATGCATCTGGTCCACATCCCTCCAATTTGGCTACAAGGATATTATGAGAGACCATGCTGAAACCTTGCTAAAGTGAAGGTAAACCCCCACTACAACCCTGCTTTCATCCACTGAAACAGTCCTCCCATCATCTCGCCACAGAAAGCATTCAGCTTGATCAGGCACGATTTGCCCTTGGTAAATCTCTGCTGGCTCTTCCCAATCAACTTTTGTTCTCCACATGCCCAATAATGGCTTCCAGAAGGATCTGTCCCTTAATTGTCACATGGTTTGAGATGTGGATCCTTCAGCACCCATGGTCATCACTGCCCTTCCCAAGGATGAGCATTACTTTTGCCTTTTCCCAGTCACCAGGAATTCTTCCTGACTGCATGACCAAGCCGTTCTTGGGGTAGAGACAGGAGGCTCAACCAGCCATTCCCACCTCTCTCCACTGAGATCAGGAACATTTTGCAGACACCTTTCCTGCCCAAGACATCTGGCCACCCGTCCTTCTTTTTAACCAGCTCCACGCTGTCTGTCCTTGAACACCTCATTGCTTTAGAGACTATGCAAGCCCTGAGCAAATAAAACCTTCAGGGGGACAAGCAGGTGAACGGCGAGACTATTCAAGGACTCTTCTGGTGTGGTTGAGACCAAAGCTGGCTGTTACATTTCATGTCTGCTGGACAACATAAATACCTTTTATATACATGGGCATGCTGGTGTGCACGTGTGAGTGGATGCCTGCAAATATTGGCCAAACAGGACTGGCCAGGAACAGATGGACGTTTGGAAGGAACAGGAAGGTTGGTTGGAACAGGAAGAGGTTGGTTGAAGGAAGGATAAGTCCTTTCACCCAGTTATTGGCAGCCCAGGGCAGCAGCTCCCAAGCTACTCTGCTTGGGAGCCTCTCAGGCTATGGCTCCTCTCTCATTTTCATAGCAGGCTCACAGCCCTGCATTTGGATGCTCCTCTAACAGCATCCTGGTGGCTCCAAGTGACTTTATCCAGCTGGGACCAACCAGGATGCATCTCTGCCTGCGCAATGCAGGAGGCTGGACTTGCCGTGGTCCCTCCAGCTGACGGGTTTCATCAGAGCAAACAGAAGCAGCTTGCCAGCTACCTCAGCTTCGAGGGGCTGAGCTCAGGGCATGTGGGAAACTGAGAGAGAGAGATGTGGGGGATCAGAGAGGAAACGCTGCCAGCAGCTCACTCCCGTGCTGGGAGACGTTCGTGCACAGAAAATCATCCAGAAGAAATTACAGCAGTAACCATGACGATGTCAGCAGGACGGCACTAGCAGGGCTTTCTCAGGGATTAACACTTCTCCATACCAAGAGCGTATCTCCCTTTTTCTGATGTGCACTGTTGATTCAGTGGTAGCCTGTGTTTGCTTTATCTTCCTCAAAGCAGAGCTACCTGAGAAATTGCTTTCTCTGCAAATCGCTCAGGCAGGACTACCTGTGAAATGGAAATGTTTTTTACAGAAAGTCCATCCCAACCCATGTGCTTGTGGAGCACTCTGCACCACAATCCCACCCTAATCCCCCTCCCTCCCCGTCACAGCCGGGAACCACTGCTGACTGAAACCAAAGTTGTCTCATTCCACTGAGCACACTGCTATTTTCTACAGTGTGACTCAGAGCCTTTCAGTTAGGTGTCAGCATGTGCTATTTGCTAGAAATAAAGTCAACATTCATTAATTCTGCTCTCTTTCTTTTAGTAAGTTTTTTGTCTTTTCCTGCTCCAGAGCGCGAGCGAGGTGCACGCAGAGCAGACCTCAGAGAGGCTGGTTCTGGCTGTGTGTGAGGACCGGCTTCCCACAGCAAGGGCTTCACCGAGCGGCTGGTCACTAGCAAGCACGATCCTGGTGGAAGAAAAGGAAAAGCAAACGGTTGGCGCTAAGCAGCCTAACGGGCTGGCAGGCTTTTCACACTGCCTGCGCAGTGCTCAGACTCTCACGCCCCTGTCAGCCAAGGGATTATTATTATTATTATTGTCATTATTATCATCATTATTTCACAGGGCTCGTCTTTAGTCTTCTGTCTGGGTCAACAAAGATCAAGTGGCATCAATGTTTACCCCTCAGAAAGCACAGCAGTGCTTTTTTACAATGTATGAAACCGCAGTAATGAGCATAAAGTGTAGTACCCAGCTTCTGACAGGATGACTGATGTAAGCTGTCAGCCAATATTTGACTTTCCAGGTGAGATTAGATTTAGCATTTAATTTAATATAAACATAAAGCGTGCAGTGCAAGGCACGTATTTAACTGACAACTGCTTACAGCCTTGCGCAGGCTGGAGGCTACTTCAAGTTGAAGATATCTCTGCTTCCTTTCGGGAGTATCATCACATTATCCAGCAGAGTTTGAAAATCCTGAGTGTTCTCGTGAATCTTGGTAGAGAAGGGCACAGGAAAGGTAAGCTTCTGTTGGTAATTCTTTATTTCCTATTGAGATAGCAGGTTTTGTTCAAGGAAAAAGCGGAGGGGTTTTACACACAAAAGGAGTGTCAAGACAGTCTGTATTTGGATTTGCTTACAGCTTGCTCGCTTTCATTAGATTACCTTTATCCTGCCTGTGTGTGAGTGTATAACTGCAGACAGACCTACATGCACGTGTACCCACATGCTGCTGTGTGCGCGTGCCTGGTACCGCAAGGCTAGTCCGGCAAGCAGAGGAAGGCAGATTGCTGAACTCCAGGTCGAAAGACACTGCGATTTCTCAGCAGTGATGAAAACTGACCGCCCCTTACCATGGGCTGCGGTAAGTTTGTTCGGTGCTTGAAGACTGCACTGAGATGGAGTGACTTTTTATGGAAGCTTGGTCAGCCTGAAGCATTGAAGGACAGGTGTTATACAGCAGCATCAAACTGAAATCCCATACCACAACCTTTGATTCCCGCAGGCTGCAATCCAGTCACACCCTCCTCTTCATGTAGGAAAGGCAGGAAAGTCAGGGGCTTTCCCCAGAGCTTCTCAAAAGCTCCTTCGCTGGAGCCGGTATGTGACAGTTCCTGCCCCAGACCTAGCTCGGTTCAAGCAGGACCAGATTCAGCACAGAATGATCGGATCAGGGGACTATTTGGACTCATTTGCTGAACAGGTATCTCTCCTTCTTCCCTCCCCCCTCCCCCCGGTTGCTCTGTTCCAAGGGTTAACAGCCTGGCAGGCTCAGTGGGGTCCCACTCCCACCCTTTGCCCCTCTGTTAGCAACACCCGCACCACTGAAACCCAGCCTCACCAGCAGCTCCTGACAGGCCCTGATGCAGGGGTGACCGTAGGAAACCTGGCCAGCCTTGCCCTCGGGCGGGAGTGTGCTGGAGGGGGATGTCTCCTGTGGCACGGAGACATTATTCATGGTTTTCCAAGCACAAACTCTGGGATAGCTGGGAGAGGGATGGAATAGATGTGGCTTTGCAGCACTACTCAGCATCCCTGACCCTTTGGGGTGGCTAGCCCTAATGAGGCTATTCCAGGTGGGGGGGGTCTGCCTCCTTGTCCCTCCCCCATCTATCAGGCTACCACTTAGGAATCAGCTGTTTGGCTGTTATGCTCCCACGGACTCGTTTGCACTTGCACAGGTACACCAGGCTTCACACCAGATGTAAAGTGTGAGACCAAGCAGGAAAGGGGGAAGGTCACATCTTTCCCTGAGGGATCCGGGGCAGCTGCCACTGTGCCGGCCCTTACAGGACCCGACACGTTCTTTGTCTTCTCCTGGGCGAAATGGTTCTTCGCTCGGTGTTTTGCCCCAGTAGGGAAGACAGTGCAGTGTGCCTTGACGCCTGCAACGTGGGTCAGGGGAGCCCACGCTCGCCGCCTTCACCAAGGCACGTTCAGCTTCCCCCAGACTCAAAGCGACCAGAGTGAGGAGAGGAGTAAGACCTCCGTGGGTCTCTGAACACACTGAGCCACTCAGAGGTGGGGTTTCTCAGCTGATCTAAAGCTGGTACTGCACTTTCAAATGGCAGGTGGCATGAGGTGTTATTAGTTAATTGCCATAATGTGGGCAAAATGAACCAATGCAACTGTTTTCGTATAGATATTTGATTGAAGTACGTATCGTATTGTCTTTAGTGGCCGTAACTTGCAAGGATGGCTGAAATGCGAAACTTCAGTTGGGTGGTGGAAGATATTTTCAAGGAAACCTTTCTCACTTACATGAACAGCTGGAGGAAAAACATGACGGAAGCGGCAGACAAATTGCAAGCCAAGGTTGATGCTGAAAACTTTGACTATGTTATCCTTTATTTGATGGTGATGATTGGGATGTTCTCTTTCATTATTGTGGCGATCTTGGTGAGTACTGTGAAATCAAAGAGGCGAGAACACTCCAATGACCCCTATCATCAGTACATCGTTGAGGACTGGGGCGAGAAGTATAAAAGCCAGATTCTGAATCAAGACCTTAAGTGTGTCATCCACGAAAACGTGGGTGCGAGGGACAAAACAAGCCCTGGATCACCTTGACTTTTTGGAAACACCAGCAATGAGGAAATCATAAAGCCACGTGCAAGGAACTCAAGGGAACTACAAATAGCTGTGAAAATTGTTCATTAAATTAACAGGTGGGTCCATGTAGAACGGAGTGCTGAGGAAATGCACATTACTGTTTCCCATCAGGACTTTGGCACAGGTGCTCAGGAAACACCCAAGAAAAATATACGATTGTGCTTTGCTTTGATATTCTGTTCTTCAGAAAATAAAACCAAGAGAATGAATAACTTGATTTTTTTTTAACATCTTTTTAAATGGAGAAGTATATCTGGATATTCCCAACTCAGAATAACTCTGAATTAGTGGTCAAAAGTGCTGATTTAGATCCAAGCTGTATGACTTAAGGCCATGTTAAAAATAGCTTTAAAATGTACAGTAAAATCTCCAAATCTCCATGTATTGACTGAAAATGTGTTATGGTATGAGTCATAGGAGGTAACTATACCTACACACATTCATTCCAAACTATTTTTTTAATGATCTGGTTCCCATTTTGATTTCATTATTCACTGACAGCAAAGATTGACTCATGGCCTTCTGACAAGGCCTGTTTTAGTAGCGGAAGAGCTACTAAACTAACAGTCTTGTGTAGGAGCATATCGTGGTTGTCTAGGGCAGCTTCCAGAGGGTCATCATTTGTCCTCAAGTCCATCGCTGTCCAAGCTGTCTCTTCTGCTGCTCCTTGGTTCTCCAGAGCAATCTGTCTATTTGAGATGCAAGCAGGGTGATGGACATGCTGGTTATATCAGTAAACCACTGAGGTCCTGCTTTCTGGCTTTCAGACGAAGTATTTCTGTACCAGCTACCATGGCTGACCCACTGCCATGCTTCCTAAGAGATTCCCATGTTGGATACTGGTTTCCATTGGCTGGGAAATGGGTTTTCAACACGTTTTTTGTTCTCCTGTGCTACTGAAGTACCGCAACACTGGCTCTCAGGGAATAATTAGAAGCAGAACTGGTGACACTTCTAGCATTAAAACGTGCTTCATTTTGCAAGACTCTGTGTTTACTTCTTAATTCATGTTGCCAGACTTAAATCGCTTAAGCTAAAAGTTCCCATGCTGGCTGTCTATTGTGTGGGCTCGTCGTTTGTTTTCAGAGAGTTCTGGCTGAAACACTTCAGTCATCTCTGGTGCTGAACAAAAACAAAACAAAAAACAATTTTGTTTTGCTCATGTTAAAAAGAAATGAGAAAGATTCATGTTGCCAGACTTAAATCGAGTAAGCTAAAAGTTCCCATGCTGGCTGTCTATTGTGTGGGCTCGTCGTTTGTTTTCAGAGAGTTCTGGCTGAAACACTTCAGCCATCTCTGGTGCTGCATTTCCAACAATTTTGTTTTGCTCATGTTAAAAAGAAATGAGAAAGGGCTTCTTTTGTTGGGAAGCAAATCTAGAGGAGGGCCACAAACATGGGCTCAGAGGGCTGGAGCACTTCTCCTGTGATGAAAGGCTGAGAGAGTTGGGCTTGTTCAGCCTGGAGAAGAGAAGGCTCCAGGGAGACCTTATAGCACCTTCCAGTACCTGAAGGGGCTACAAGGAAGCTGGGGGGGACTTTTTACAAGGGCCTGTAGTGACAGGACAAGGGGTAACGGGTTTAAATTGAAAGTGGAGAGGTTTAGATTGGGTATCAGGAAGAAGTTCTTCCCAGAGAGGGTGGTGAAGCACTGGAACAGGTTGCCCAGAGAAGCTGTGGATGCCCCATCCCTGGAAGTGTTCAAGGCCAGGCTGGATGAGGCTTTGAGCAACCTGCTCTAGTGGAAGGTGTCCCTGCCCATGGCAGAGGGCTTGGAACTAGATGGTCTTTAGGTTCCTTTCTAACCCAAACCATTCTGTGAGTCTATGAAGCTTTGGCATGATTTGGAGTCTGGTCTTGAGATCTGGCACAGCAACTGCTGTCATGCTTCAAATGTGCCTTTTGCTGGCACAGTCGTAAGCCTTTCAATAATCTCAGTCCGTGAGCGCTGGGAAAGGCTTCTCAGGTCCCAGAACAGCCATCCAGTGAGCTTCTCCCCCTGCCTTCCCGGGTGGCCTGTGGGTGTCTGCCAGCTCCCCTGCTCCTGCCACGGATGTGCTCCACACCCAGGCTACCGCCAGACTTCCCTTACCGCGGGGTCCGGCCAGCTAGTTGAGAGCAGACGTTGGGTCGTGCCACAGTCAGGGAGAGCCCCTTTGTGCAAAGTACAGCCTGAGGAGCACCCCTGGAGAACTTGCCCAGCGGCACCGGCATCTCCAGCTGCTGACCGACCCGTTTGGGCCCTGCTCCACGGCAAACCCGGGAGGCAGCTCTCGCCTCTGGCCCGGGCCTGCTCACCATGGCAGGCAGCCGGCGGCCAGGCTGCACGGTGAAGCTGAGGGCTTTGCCCTCGGACCTACACCCCTGGGCCATGTGGGAACTGCTTTCCCTCAGATTTATCGTGAAGTTTTAAGGAACGGGGGGGTACGTTCTCGGCCGGGCCGC